TAAAAACGTTCGAATAACGTGATGCGAGAAAAAAAGTTTCTCGTTTTCAGCAGTTTTCGGACCATTTTCAGTGTAACTCGGAAAATCGCAAATATTTTGCATGAGCGATAAAATGCAAAAGAAACGTATCGTTTTAATGTGATAACACTCGATTATCGGAAAACGTTGACTTTATCGGTGCGCTACACAAAACTGAAAACTTTTTGGTATGCAATATTTCACGTGGAAACAAGCCGCTAGAATTTTTCGGGAATTTTACGACAAAGGAGGAAGGATCTCTTTTTTTGCGGGATTGGGTCCCTTTAACGTCCCCTCGACGTGCGACGTTGCGACGCAATTGAATTTTCTTATCACTCGCTGTCTGCGGTGCATTGGGTCCTTAGCGAATAGCAAGCACTATTTTGGCACATAGGAACGATCTTTTGGAAGCGGGAGGTTCTCAAGCAGGGAAAAGGAGAAAGAACGGCATCTTGAACGACGAGCGCCGAGAGAGGTTTAAGCGAAATTGCTTTCGGCCGGGCGTCTTCGAATGTTGCCGAGGGGTATACACGTCTTTAGCCGGGTAACGAGATTGCCGCGACGTGTTCCGGACGTACACGATATGTACTGTTACGTCCCCTCTGAGTAGGGACTTGTTGGACTTGGACTTACGCTGGTTGCGTGGATACTTGTACGCGATCGGAGACGGACCGCCATTTAGGTATTTGCGTCGACCAATCACGCAAGCCAGACAAATACGATGTTCGGCGAAAACGTAACTTGTATAAAATGTACGCTACTTTTAGTAATTTGAGAAAACGCGAGGCAAATACTGATCTAAAAGATTATTATTTATTATACCTTATGTATTATAACTTATAATCTTATACCTACATTCTCTTCTAAGAACGATCAGAAAATTATTTCTTTAAACAATTCGACACGTAAAGAACGTATTAATTTAATAGTATTATAATGTGAATAGCGTGTAGTTTCTTTCTTTATAATTATATTTTACTTTCTATCGAAATTAATTACATTATTGAAATTAATTACGAAAAATAGATATATATATATACGAGTATTTGTCGTTATTAATAATAAAACTAAAGGCCTTGTACTGTGTGCCTTAAATGTTCCGAGATTATTCATTGATTGTGAAACAATAGGGTTCTTTTTCGAAATCATATATAACACTGTGTGTGTTTTACGTTAATTTGAAACGCTCGGGTATCTGAGGGTTAAATAACGGGATGTCCAGAGGGATTAACCAGTAACAAAGCTGAAACTAATTTGCACGGTGGCATTCGGGCATCCTTTTTGGAGGCGCGCAATCCCAATTATAAGCCGGCTCGTGTCTGAATTGCAATCCGCGAAACGCTTCTTATCAAAGTGGAAGGATGCGACGCTCACGTGCCGCATTCTAATTATCTCGATGTACGATCGATACAGGTGCAAACACACGTACAAACGTACGTACGCGCTGTACGTAACTCTTACATTGCCGCAGTAAATTACATTGCACGGACGCTCGCGGCACTCGCGGAATTCAGCAGAATGCCCTGGTCTGTACCAGCGGCAATAAAGCGAATAAAGTGTCGGATGTAATAACGTTTTACGTGATACCGCCTGCCTATTGCCCCCCCCCTCTCCCCCCTCCGCGCAATTCGCTGTAAAAAGCGGCAAACGGAACCCACGAGCCCGGGTATCTGCAACGCGAGAATGCGACGGACAAGAGTGACGTATGGCCTATAAAGGACACTGCGGGAAACGTATAACGTTATACATTTAGAAACGTTACATACATACTTTTCGAGACGTCCGTTCTTCGAAATTTCCAAATGCGTGTTTAAAGTGTTCCTTCCAAGTTACTTTTCATTAATACTCTCGGAGGAAAATGGTGACGCTCTTCACTGAGAGAAAGGATTTTGTTAATTCAACAAGTCATCAGTAACCTGTGTCATCGTACCTGTAAATATGTGACGACGAATTTTGTTGTTGCGACTGCTGCCGTTCTGCCAATCAATTATTAGTAACGGAAGCAAACCACAGTGAGAACAAAAGTATTTGTACAAGGAAATTTTTTATGAAAAAAATCTTATTTGTAGAAAATAAGCGTTAATTAACAATTTTATACAATGGATGCATTCTGTTTCTGACATAAACAACCGAGCTTTGCACGTATTTCTGATTTTAGAAGCTAAATCTCTCGACTGTACGTATACTTTTTGATCATCCAAACAATACAATTTTTACTTTCCGCTTATTTTTCAGATGATACATTTTTTATAATTAATACACATCTTTTTGGTATATAATTTTACGAAACGTACAGTCTATTTTATTCTTCATGAATAAATTGTTAATTATCCAGCAAGAAATGATCGTCAATTAAACGTCGAATTGACGTCAAATTGGTGCTGACATCATCGTATCGATATTCATTCGACATCAATTCGATGATTCATTTCTTGATGGAGGATGTTTACTTTGTAAAAATAAAGTTTCTTTAAAAAATATTTTCTCTGTCCGAATACTTTTTGCGCTCACTGTAACTTATCTTTTAGATAGACTTTAGGCTCGTTTACACAGAAATCGTAGATGATCGTGGAAAGTCTTAAGTCGTAGAAAACCAAGTACAGTTAACTATAGGGAGAATACTTGACTAGAATTAGTCAATTCTTACGATTTGGGACCCTGCAACCGTCTATGACTTTCATATATACGAGTATATAAGCCTCTTATTTATTAGCGATATTAT